AAAACTCAAGTCCAAATGGATTAAAGACCTCAATATTAATCTGCCCACACTGAACCTGTTAGAAGAGAAAGTGGGAAGTAGTCTACAACACACGGGCACAGGAGACCACTTCCTACGTAGAACCCCTGTAGCACTGACAATAAGAGCAACAATAAATAAATGGGACCTCCTGAAACTGAGAAGCTTCTGTAAAGCAAAGGACACTGTCATTAAGACAAAACGGCAACCTACTTATTAGGAGAAGATCTTCACCAGCCCTGCAACAGACAAAGGTCTGATTTCCAAAATATATAAAGAACTCAAGAAACTAGACATTAAAATTCTAATTAATCCAATTTTAAAAAAATGGGGTATTGATCTGAACAGAGAATTCTCAACAGAAGAAGTTCAAATGGCCAAAAGACACTTAAGGTCATTCTCAACCTCCTTAGCGATCAGGGAAATTCAAATCAAAACAACTTTGAGATACCATCTTACACCTGTCAGAATAGCTAAAATCAAAAAGACCAATGATAGCCTATGCTGGAGAGGATGTGGGGTGAGGGGAACTCTCATCCATTGTTGGTGGGAATGCAAACTTGTGCAACCACTTTGGAAATCAGTGTGGCGGTTTCTCAGGAAATTCGGGATCAACCTACCCCAGGATCCAGCAATACCACTCTTGGGAATATACCCAAGAGATGCCCTATCATACTACAAAAGCATTTGTTCAACTGTGTTCATAGCTGCTTTATTTGTAACAGCCAGAACCTGGAAACAACTTAGGTGCCTTTCAATGGAAGAATGGATAAAGAAAGTGTGGAATATATACACATTAGAATACTACTCAGCGGTAAAAAACAATGACATCTTGAATTTTGCATGCAAATGGATGGAAATAGAAAACACTATCCTGAGTGAGATAACCCAGACCCAAAAGGATGAATATGGTATGTACTCACTCATTAGTAGACTCTAGCTATAAACTAAGGACATTAAGCCAAATAATAAGTGAACCCAAAGAAAAACATATATAGATCCTCCTGGAAATTGGAAGCAAACAAGATTCCCGGGCAAAAGTTGGGAGCATGGGGGTGGGAGTAGAGAGGGGAGAGGGGGAGAGAGAAGTGAGAAGGGGAGGATGGGAAGAGCTTGGGGGAATGGGACGGTTGGGATGGAGGAAGGGTGGATATGGGAGCAGGGAAGTATATATCTTAATTAAGGGAGCTATTTTAGGGGTGGCAAGAGACTTGACTCTAGAGGGGTTCCCAGGTGTCCAAGGAGATGTCTCCAGCTTGTTCCTTGGGCAGCTGAGGAGAGGGCGCCTGAACTGGCCCTTTCCTATAGCCACACTGATGAATATCTTGCATATCACCATAGAACCTTCATCTGGCGATGGATGGAGATAGAGACAGAGACCCACATTGGAGCACTGGACTGAGCTCCCAAGGTCCAAATGAGGAACAGAAGGAGGGAGAACATGAACAAGAAAGTCAGAACCGCGAGGGGTGCGCCCACCCACTGAGATGGCCGGGCTGATTTAATGGGAGCTCACCAAGGCCAGCTGGACTGGGACTGATGGAGCATGTGATCAAACTGGACTCTCTGAACGTGGCTGACAATGAGGGCTGACTGAGAAGCCAAGGACAATGGCACTGGGTTTTGATTCTACTGCATGGACTGGGTTTGTGAGAGCCTAGTCTGTTTGGAAGCTACCTTTCTAAACCTGGATGGAAGGGGGAGGACCTTGGACTTCCCACAGGGCAGGGAACCCTGACTGCTCTTTGGACTGTAGAGGGAGGGGGTGGGGGGAGGGGGAGGAAAATGGGAGGAGGTGGAAATTTTTAATAAAAAATAAAAAAAAATTGCTGAAAAAAAATTTTAAAAAAACACCTGGTACTCTTCAGAAATCTTAAGTTCAATATCCACCACCCACCTGGCAGCACACAATGGTCTGTAACTCTAGTTCTAGGGTATCTAATGCCCTCTGCAGGTACCAGGTACACATGGTACATAACACACATAAAATAATAAAGTAAGTCTAAAAATGTTTATCAGAGATAAGAATAAAGCTCGGTGGTAGAGCTCACATCTAGCATGTGCAAATCTCATGGTTTAATTAACTGAATTTTGTTCAGTTTAAGGAAAACTATAATTCAAACTCTGGCCATCTTATGGTAATTGCAAATGGTTAAATAATGTACAGCTGGATTCAAGTTTTATGTGTAAAAAACATGAAAATACCAACATTATGGGACCACAGAGGCAAACATCCAACTAATCTTGGTCAGAGAAAAAGCTGTCTGAGAAGATTTGAAGACATAATCAGAAACTACACCGTGGGGAATACCACTGTGCATGGCTTGCGGCAGAGTTGAGGACCAAACATAGTCATAAAACAATGGCAAAACTATACAAGAAAAATTGAATATCCTCTGAAAGGACACATGCTCAGAATTTTTTTGCAGTAGGGCATGAGCTAATGAAGAGAGAGCCACAAGCTCATGATTCACTCTCACAGGTATCTGAACAACCCGAGTGAAATGGGACTGTGCTCTGGAATATTGCTTTAATTATGTAAAAGTGTGTTACATTTGTTTATGTTGTGGAATGTTGCTTTAACTATGTAACAGTGTGTTACATTTGTTTATGTTGTGGAATATTTAACTATGTAAAGGTGTGTTATATTTGTTTATGTTGTGGAATATTTAACTATGTAAAGGTGTGTTACATTTGTTTATGCTGTGGAATATTACTTTAACTATGTAAAGATGTGTTACATTTGTTTATGTTGTGGAATATTTAACTATGTAAAGGTGTGTTACATTTGTTTATGCTGATTTGTTTAATGATATAAAAATGTGTTGCTTTCCTGCCTAAGGCACCTGATTGGTCTAATAAAAAGCTGAACAGCCAATAGCTAGGCAGTAGAGGGATTGGGGGGGCTGGTGGGCAGAAAGAAATCTGCCAGAGACACCCACGGAGGACCTGAATCTGTAGTCAGGTACCCAGGTGGATTTGGTCTGAAAGGTAGATGTCCTCATCATTGCCTCCTAGAGCAAGTGTGAGAAGCCTGAGAGACAACGGACCCAAGAGGTTATAGTACCAAAGCAGACTCCCTGTGCCCAAGAGAACACCCACACTGCTTTCTCCTCCTTTTATAGTCATCTGAGTTAGGTCAGCAGGTGCCTCTCCTGCCTGTGTCACTGGATGCCTAGTGTGATGGCTATTCTTGTCAACTTCACTACATCGGGAATTAACTAAAAAACCTGTGAGGAATGTATTTTCCTTAATTAAGTCATTGGAAGTAGGAATACCCACTTTTAATCTGGATCTTTTGAAGTGGAAAGATCTATCTTTAATCTGGGTCACACCTTCTGGTTGCAGTGTATATAAAGAACTTGGAAGAAGGAAGTTTACTCTTTGCCTACTTGCCCTGACTCTTTCTGGCGAGTCCATTCCTTCACTGGCATTAGAGCCTACTTCTTCAGTATTGTGAAGATCAGTAGAGACTTCCAGCTTCCTAGACTGAAGAACTACTGGATTCTTGGGTTTTCCACTGATAGACAACCACTATTGGACTAGCTGGACTAGAGTCTGTAGGTCACTCTAATGAATTATCCTTCTGTATCTATATATAGATTCATACTACTAGTTCTGTTCCTCTAGAGTAGTGATTCTCAATCTGTGAGTTGCAACCCTTTTGTAGGTAGAACGACCCTTTCACAGGGGCAACCTAAAACCATCAGAAAACACAGATATTTACATTCCATAACAGTAGCAAAATTATAGTTATGAAGTGGCAACAAAAATAATTTTATGGTGGGGGGGGTCACAGCATTAGGAAGCATGAGAAACACAATTCTAGAGAATCCTAATACACCTAGTTAATTCCTAGCTACTCTAATCAGGGACTAGTGGGAAGAACAGACAGGGAAAGATGACTTACATTCTCTTGTTCTTTAAATTTCCACATTATTTTATACCAAACATTTCTAATTACATATATTATTTAGTTTATACTTGAATTACTTATATATGTAATTCATGTATTTAAATCTAAGAGGACTCAGATTGATACAAAATAGCAAAAGATGTTAAAAGTTAAAAAAATGTAGAATAATCTTTTATGCAAACATGTTTATTAGAAATTGTGACAAGAAAGGTGACTTTCCAACTTGAATAAAGCTGATATTTGTTAGATTGTATTTATTTTATATGCTTGAAGAACTTGTCTATGAGCAATTAGTAACAAATATGTGTGTGTATATATGTGTTTGCATGGGTATGTGCATGTGAAGACCAGAAAATAACACTGGGTAGCATTCCTCAGGAGCCATCTACTTGTTTTTTGAAATGGGGCCTCTTATTAGCCCCAAACTTACCAAATAGGCTAAGCTGGCTGCCCATCAAGGCTCAGGGACCTCTCTATCTCCACCTCTCCAACACTGGAATTACAACCATACACTATTACACTCAACATTTTTATATGGGTGTTTGGGTGTTAGTGATTGAACTCAGGTGCTTATGCTTGTGCTACAAGCACATTATCTAGTTCAAAGGATCTCCTTTACACTAAAACTATAAAGCCATTTAGAAAGCTATCCATGAGTAGTGCACACCTGTGACTTTAGCACTCAGGAGGTGGCACCTAGGCTACAAAGCAAGACCTTTTCTTTTAAAAGGACCCAAAAGTGTTACTACAACTGCATCATAAATCAAGGGAATTTATAACTTTCCAATAAAAATAGTCTTTAGAAATTACAAAATGGATAACACTTTTGGAAGCCACCTTCCCAGGAAAAATCTGGAAAGGGCGATGGAGAGATGCACATCACCAAGGTGACTGAGTTTCTGGGTGGAAAACTCAGCCATTCTTATTCTCAGAGCACAGAGTTTATGCCTCAATACCAGAGAAATAAACACACACAGTAAAATACAATTAGCAGCATGAAATCCTGTTTTAGGAACAGTGCAGAACCAAACATACATTGGGGCACAGAAATGAGCAAGTAACTTACAGGATGTTTGGCTGAAAGTCTCCCCGTCACAGTTCCAGTCTGATTCCATGTAGAAGAGATGGAGCCCTTGATCATTTAAGAAGAATCAGTTCAAACCCAGACAATATGGTATGAGGAAGAGCACACAGACCCTTCATCTACAACACCCACTTGCTCCTCCTGAATGTTACAAAACAGTCTTGGTATCAGAGACAGATGCTCCCCTCTAACCCAAATACAAGTAACAATGGAACAAGTAGATCCATTTCTGTTAAGTCTATGTGTGAGTTAAGGGGGCTGTAGGGACGGCAAAAACTCAAAGTGTAATTATGCCACAAACTGTTGCTTGTGCAGCCTTGTAAGTTACAGACACCTCTGAATGTACTTTTTTTCGTGTGCAAATTAAAACAGTAATGTCTACCTGTGATGGATATTATTGGTTGCCAATTTGACTATATCTTTAATTAATTAAAACTCAAGTAATTAGGTATGCCTTTGAAGGATTTTTTTCTTAATTAAATAATTTGAAGTGAAAAGAACCCCTTTTTTGTATCTTTTGTGGTGTGAAGATCCACCTTTAATCCAGATCTTTTGGGGTAAGAAAATCCACCTTTAACCTGGGCCACACCTGCTGGCAGCCTATATAAAGAACAGAAAAAAAAATAAAGCTTGCTCTCTTTTTGCCTGTTTGCTCTCAATGCAAATCCACTCCTTCACTGGCATTAGAGCCCACTTCTCTGGGATTCCAGCATATACTGAAGACCAGCTGAGACACCAACCCTTGTGGACTATAACAACTATTGGATTATTGGACTTTCTGTTGATAAACAACCATTGTTGGACTAGCTGGACCACAGTCTATAATCCAGTCTGACACCTTCCCTTTATGTGTGTATGTGTGTGTGTGTGTTCATATGTATGTTCCTCTAGAGGATTCTGAGAGCCTCAAATGACTCTAGAAAAAGACACGACAGTAGATGTGAAAGCAGGCTAGCTGCCTCATATATGGAGAATCTAAAAGCATAATAATAACCTGCATTGTACAAAAATTGAATAATATGACCACAGTCCGTAGTTCCAAGAATAATGAACTTTTCCTCCTTTACTAGGATTGTAAAAATGGCATGTGTATCTGAACTCAAAATAAACCTTACTTCTAATCTCAATTTTCTTTTGTAAAGCTTTGTTACCTTTTTCATATAAGCTAGTAATCCGTCTACAAAAGTTGACTTGATCTTGTGAACCTACAGTATAAAGACAAGAATAGTTACCTTCTTAAACTTGTTTAAGTACTCAAAGAAATCAACTGCAGAGCAGTAGTTTACATAGGGCTGGACATATGCAGAATCCACCTTGGACAACCTTAAGTAGTGGCAGGATGTAATAACACAGGTGCACAAAGAAAGATGCCATTCTGTTATTCTGCAATATTTCTAAGCTACAGAGAAGTTGCAAAGCTCAAATGCTCATCTCAGTGTCCTCAGCAGTGGGCCCTTTCTAGTTCTTTCCCAACCCTTACACGACTCCAGGATGATGACTGGCTTGGAACCAGTGTATTTCTGCAGGACAGGGACTCAGTAAATAATTACACTATTGTTTGGTTTGTAAATGTAGTTAATGGGTAACAGAAATCATGAAATAAAGGGTAGGTATGTGAACAGAGAAAACATTAATAACTAAAAGATGAAAGGGACATGCCAGTATCCCCCAGTAAACATCACTGTCTTGAAGCCTGGAAACAGGGGGGATGATGGGACTTTGTGAGAATTAGTAAAAGTCTTATTCTCACTTGAAGGGACAGGGGAACAGGCCATCAGTCTCCTTCCACATATGACTCCTTGGGCTTCCAGTGCTAGACAAAACAGACTCAGACTTGAGTAAGATGACATCAGGATATGAAGAAACAAGGCTGACATGAAGTTGGTTGAGGAAATTTTATCTCTTTAGAACACTGTTAACAAGCGTCAGCAAATATGGTTGTGAATAGAGACAGTGTTGGATAGCTTTCCTTCATCACAAACAATTTACACAGAGAAAGAGAGAGAGTCAACTTACTTGTCTATATTCCAAAATTATCTTGGGTAATGGGTGAAGGTCTTGTAGAGAATTTAACTAAAAAATAAAAATATTTATTACGAACATAATGTCTTCATTTCAACAATTCAAACGTTTACTTTCAACTAGAGAGTGTTCTAATAATAAATGATGCAATATAATATATTTTCCAAAGTGAAGACTCATAGCAAACTCAGATTATCGAGTGTCTTAATCCCAACCCTTTACAAGTAATTCTGGTATCTATCCAGGAGCTAAATTATTTCACATGACCTGAGAAATAAGAGTCTTCTTCAGAACTTAAATTAACAAAATCTAAATCCTACAAAAATGAGTAAGACAGATGCCTTCAAACATAAAGCCCACACTATAGTAACACCCAAAATTTGACTCAGAAATTTGGATGAAACTTCAGGGAGGTGACACAAGCTTTGAATTCTAAAGCTATAACATTGAACATACAGTACTGATCCTAATAAGCTGATAGGAAGTTCAGAAAGAGGAAAAATTAGCCTGTAGTGGTAGACAGAGCTCAGGGTCTGAAAAGGAGCAGGACCTACTAGGAAACTGAGATATTTATTTCTTGCTACAACAGCAGTTACATGGTACTATCATAAGCTTTCTGTCTTAGTAGGTAGAACATACCTACAAACATACCATACAATACCAACAAAGCCACACCTACCAATAGTGTAACTCCCTTTTGGGCATTTTATTTCAATCCACCACATGCCACTTCCTGGCCCCAAATGCCTGTAGCCACATCATAGTGCAAAAACGCATTCAGTCCAACTTCAAAAGTCCTCATAGTCTATTACAGTCTCAAACTTATTTAAAAGTCTAAAGTTCAAAGTCTCTTCTGAGATTCACACAATCTCTTTAACTGTAATCCCCTGTAAAATCAAAATCAAAAACCAGATCACATACTTCCAATATATAATGGCACAGGATATATATTACCATTCCAAATATAGGAAAGTGAGCACAGTGAGGAAATACCAAACCAAAGCAAGACCAAAAACCAGCTGGGCAAACTCCAAACTTTTTATCTCATGTCTAATGTCAAAGCATTCTTTAGAACTCCTACTCTTTTCACTGTGGTGTTGACTGCAACACACTTCTTGCTCTTGGGCTGGTTCCACTCCCTGTTAGCAGCTTTCTTCAACAAGTATTCTATGACTCTGGCATCTCTAACATCTTGGAATCTTCAAGACAGTCAAGGCTTCAACTTCACAGCTTCATGAAATGGCCTCTCTAGGCCCCATTCAGGGACAATGCCTGGCCTTAACTATATTCCTTAGGTGTAGAGACAAATTCCATAACCTGTTTCTTCTATCCTTAACTCCAAAGCCAGAAGAACCACGTGGCCAAAGTTGCCAAATTCTGCTGCTTCTGGGGCTGGAAGATGGCCTACTCATTCAATTACAACTTTACAAGCTTTGGGCTTTTGAATTTTACCTTTACTTCCTAAACTTGGCTGTCCTAGAACTTGCTATACTGTAGACCAGGGTGGCCTCAAACCCAAAAATCTTCAGTTACATCGTCACCACCAGCTTTCTATTTTCCATAGTTTTCTTCACTGCCTAAACTTGGCTGTCCTTGAACTTGCTCTGAAGAAATGGCTGGCCGCAAACTCAGAGACCCACCTGCCTCTGCCTTCTGAGTGTTTGGATTAAAGGCAAGCACCACCACATTTGACTCTAAGCTTTTCTTTAATTGCCTTTCAGAGACTGGAAACTTAGCTGGGATGGATTTTGCCCTGAAGTCACCACTTCCTTTACTTATTTTCTTAATCCATTTATCTCCTTGAACACAAAACTTAGCTCCATTACACTTCCTGGCACTCTTTTTCTCTTCAAAATTTTTATTTTGTACAAGTTTACATTCCCACCAGCAATGGATGAGTGTTCTCCTTACTCCACATCGTCTCCGCATAAGCTATTATTAGTGTTTTTGATCTTAGCCATCCTGACAGGTGTAAGATGGAATCTCAGAGTTGTTTTGATTTGCATTTCCCTGACAGCTAAGGATATTGAGCATTTCCTTAAGTATCTTTTGGCCATTTGAGATTCTTCTGTTGATTATTTCTCTGTTTAGTTCAGAACCCCATTTTTAAATTGGATTATTTAGAATTTTAACGTCTAATTTCTTGAGTTCTTTATATATTTTGGAGATCAGTCCTCTGTCTGATGTGGGGTTGGTGAAGATCTTTTCCCATTCAGTAGGCTGCCTTTTTGTCTTATTGACTGTATCCTTTGCTTTACAGAAGCTTCTCAGTTTCAGGGGGTCCCATTTATTTATTATTGCTCTCAGTGTCTGTGCTACTGGGGTTATATTTAGGGAGTGGTCTCCTGTGCCCATGCATTGAAGGCTACTTCCCACTTTTTCTTCTATCAAGTTCAGTGTGGTCAGATTTATACTGAGGTTTTTAATCAATTTGAACTTGAGTTTTGTGCATGGTGATATAGATATATTTTCATTCTTCTACAGGTTCACATCCATTTATGCCAGCACCATTTGTTGAAGATGCTTTCTTTTTTCCATTGTATAATTTTAGCTTCCTCATCAAAAATCAGGTGTTTATAGGTGTGTGGATTAATATCTGGGTCTCCAATTCGATTCCATTGGTCAATATCTCTGTTTTTATGCCAATATCAAGCTGTTTTCATTACTGTAGCTCTGTAATAGAGCTTGATGTCAGGGATGGTGATGCTTCCAGAAGTTCCTTTATTGTACAGGATTGTTTTGGATATCCTGGGTTTTTTGTTTTTCCATATGAAGTTGATTATTGTCCTCTCAAGGTCTGTGAAGAATTGTGCTGGGATTTTGATGGGGATTGCATTGAATCTACAGATTGCTTTTGGTAGAATTGCCATTTTTACTATGCTGATCCTCCCAATCCAAGAGCATGAGAGGTCTTTCCATTTTCTGTTATCTTCTTCAATTTCTTTCTTCAAAAACTTAAAGTTTTTGTCAAATAGGTCTTTCACTTCTTTGGTTAGTGTTACCCCAAGATATTTTATGTTATTTGTGGCTATTGTGAAAGGTGATGTTTTCTCTGATTTCCCTCTCAACTTCTTTATCATTTATGTCTAGGAGGGCTACTGCATTTTTTGGAGTTGATTTTGTATCCTGCCACATCACTGAAGGTATTTATCAGCAGTAGGAGTTCTCTGGTGAGTTTGGGGTCACTTATGTACACTATCATATCATCTGCAAATAAAAAAAATTGGACTTCTTTCTTTCTAATTTGAATCCCCTTGATCTCCTTGGGGGAAGGGAAGATGGGGAGAGAGAAGAGAGAAGGGGAGGATTGGGGAGAGCTTGGGGGAATGGGATAATTGAGATGGAGGAAGGGTGGATATGGGAGCAGGGAAGAAATTATCCTAACCAAGGGAGCCATTTTAGGGTTGGCTAGAGTCTTGGCTCTAGAGGAGTTCCCAGGTGTTCAAGGGGATTTCCCCAACTAGTTCCGTGGGCAGCAGAGGAGAGGGTGCCTGAACTGGCCTTATCCTATCACTGATGAATATCTTGCATATCACCATAGAACCTTCATCTGGCGATGGATGGAGATGGAGACAGAGACCCACATTGGAGCACTGGACTGAGTTTTCAAGGTCCAAATGAGGAGCAGAAGGAGGGAGAACATGAGCAAGGAAGTCAGGACCACGAGGGGTGTGTCGACCCACGGAGACAATGGGGCTGATCTAATGGGAGCTTGCCAAGGCCAGCTGGACTGGGACTGATGGAGCATGTGATCAAACTGGACTCTCTGAATGTGGCTGACATTGAGGGCTGACTGAGAAGCCAAGGACAATGGCATTGAGCTTTGATTGTACTGCATGGACTGGCTTTGTGGGAGCCTAGTCTCTTTGGATGTTCACCTTCCTAGACCTGGAGGGAGTGGGGAGGACCTTGGACTTCCCACAGGACAGGAAACCCTGACTGCTCTTAGGACTGGAGAGGGAGGGAGAGAGGGAGTAGGAGGAGTGGGGGGAGTGGGAGGGTATTGGGAGGAGGGGAGGAAGTGGAAATTTTTAATAAATAAAAAAAAATAAAATAAAAAACTTCAAAAACTATGTTGAAGAGATATGGAGAGAGTGGACAGCCTTGTTTTGTTCCTGATTTTAGTGAAATTGCTTTGAGTTTCTCTCCATTTAATTTGATGTTAGCTGTCAGCTTGCTGTATATTGCTTTTATTATATCTGGATATGTTCCTTGTATCCCTGATCTCTCCAATACCTTTATCATGAAGGGGTGTTGGATTTTGTAAAATGTTTTTTTTATCATCTAATGAAATGATTATATGCTTTTTATTTCAGTTTATTTATATAATGGATTACATTGATAGATTTTTGTATGGTGGACTAGCCCTGCATCTCTGGGATGAAGCCAACTTGATTATGGTAGATGATTTTTTGATGTGTTCTTGGATTCAGTTTGCCAGTATTTTATTGAGAATTTTTGCGTCCATGTTCATGAGTAAGATTGGTCTGTAATACTCCTTCTTGGCCGAGTCTTTGTGTAATTTTGGTATCAGGATAACTATAGCCTCATAAAAAGAGTTTAGCAATGTCCCTTCTGTTTCTATTATGTGGAACACTTGGAGGAGTATAGGTATTAACTCTTCTTGGAAGTTCTGGTAGAATTCTGCACTAAAACCATCCAGCCCTAGGTTTTTTGTTTGTTTGTTTTTGTTTTGTTATTTTTTTATACAACTACTTTGGAAATAAGTATGGCAGTTTCTCAGAAAATTGGGAATCAACCTACCTCAGGATCCAGCAATTCCAGCAATACCACTCTTGGGCATATACTCAAAAGATGCTCAATCATACTACAAAAGCATTTGTTCAACTATGTTCATAGCAGCATTATTTGTAATAGCCAAAACCTGGAAACAACCTAGATGCCCCTCAACTGAAGAATGGATAAAGAAAAAGTAGTACACATTAGAGTACTACTCAGTGGTTAAAAAAAAATGACTTCTTGAATTTTGCATGCAAATGGATGGAATTAGAAAACACTATCCTGAGTGAGGTAACCCAGACCCAAAAAGA